TGAAGAAATGCCGAAGGCAGTCATTGTCAAGCTGGCAGAGGATTCAAGGAAGGCATTCGAATCGAATGGCACATGAGTAAGTTAATCAACGAGTTTTAGAGTTCATCAACCAATGATGTTGAAATTATCAAGAAGCATAGGAGAACAACAGATATTTGGGTCTAACAGATTAACATTTCACCAGCATAAAAGTAGCTAGAACAGTGGGAGCTGAGTGACGAACATACTCGTGTGGGTGCCAGTGTGTATTTTGGAGAAAAGGCGTCACACGGAATCGAATGCTACGAACAACGATATAGGACGACCTAGTTCGCAGTCAACGAACCTGGGGACTTGGCAGGAATAGAGTAAACACTGATATCCGGTCCGTAGAAGGCATTTTGGTGTCACAAATTTACCCACATCCACAAAGGTGGGGATAGCAGCATCTATTTTGTATTCCACATAGTGAGGTATTCTAGAAGCGAATAATTGCAAAATAGATGGTGCTGTACCCACCTATGTAGGTGTGGGTAGAATTTGTGCCACCACAATACTTTCCCCGGACTGGACTAGTTAAAAATGCTGACGCGCAAAGCCCCTCCAATTGAAGTAGCATTGCCCTCAATTTCCCACGACTTTTACTGTTTCAATCCACTTAACGTGAAACTGGGCGTGTTTATGAGAAGATGCATTTTAATGACAACTCCTAGCCGCATGGGCAGGAGAGCTTTTGGCCATATTCGGGCTGCATGTCCCACCAACTAGCAAAATTCTGATCAAATAACCCCAGACCTCGTGGATTCCAACGATCAGGTTGGCATTTGAAGTTTACTATTAGTGAATTGGTCTCTATTATTCCGCATTAGACAGACAGCAGAAATGTGAGATAGGTATCAAGTATTATTTGAAGCACCTTTGTTCAAGATGCGCAAGTGTCAAGTGGATGGAAAGGCTTACTTGCCTAGAAGGCGGGTACTGGCTCTAGCAATTCAGTGCAGTACAGGTCATTCGAGATCAAAATCCCAAATTATTCAAACTGCTATCACCTGAAGAAAACTGTGTAATACGTTTCGCATCCATAGGATAAGTTACCAAGATGAAGTCAATCAAGGCGCAGGTACCAATGTTATCCCAATATGGGTACATGAAAAAAGACAAGAATACATAAACTTAGCAAGTTGAATCGCTTGCAACAATGCCCCAATACACTAAAGTAACTTTAAGAACAAACCTCGAAGATAGTGTCTATTGCCAACAGAACCTCGCTATGCTCAAAAGAACATCCAAGCAAGCAAAAAACGCCATTTGTGGAATGTAAACTTATTATCGCCACGTAAAATACTAGCTGGAATAAAAAAAGAACCAATTCGTCGCCATCGAAGGCATTTCCAAAACTGGCCACCACAATAAACTATTATTCCCAATCTATGATTCACACAGTTACCTCATCACGCGCACATGCACTTGGGAGTTGAATATATGCTTCGCAACACACACACATTTACGACTCCCAGAGCCAATTTAACACATAATTGCCCCATTGACAGCAACGGAAACGACGTGACAGTGTTGTTAAAGTTCGAAGGTGAAATATAAAAAAATAACGAAACGTTTTTCGTTCTGGTGAGGAATGATGCCCTTTGCCTGATGTTACAGTAATAGCTTAAACAAATCGGACCTCGTCATTAAACCGACCTTTTCATCCAACAACAAATAATGCAAGTAGTGTAGAGCAAGATGGTGTGGAGAGTGGAACATAGAGGTCACTTTTCAGATCAGATAATGACATGACTCACGACCTTGAGTACAGTGAAGGGGCTCACTCGGTGTCCAGTCTGGATAGGATCCTGACCTTAGGTACTAAGAATTGATATCCAAAATGCGAGAGAATAAAATCATTGGAGGTCATGGGATTACGGACAGATGCGAAACAGCAATGGATGGGACTAGCTTGACGAGTTGGCATGAAACTCGAGATGTTGCACGATTGGGAACATATTTGAACAAGACTACAAACCTTCGATAACTAAAATTGCTAACTCAAATCGTATAAATTTGAAATTTTAAAAGAATTTTTGAGAAAAATGGCTGGCTTGAATAAATTGTGATTCAGAAAATGGACAAAGGGCCAAATAGGTGCCGAAGTCAATCACGTCATGGCAAATCAGGAAGCCCATGTTTGAATAACACAAGGTCAAAACATCAGAGGCATGAGTCATTGTCAAATTTCACCAAAATTAAGATTTATACGACACATGCATCTAGTGCTTGCACAAATTCATAACTAGCATTGACTCATTTGGTAGAAAACAATTTTTTCCAAAATTAATTTAACGAACTAACTAACCAAAACTCGGGAAGTGTATCCGCTATTAATGGATATACTGTGAACAAGAAGGTGACCCAGCTTCTGATTAATCTGGCTCAATTGGGGCAGATTGTTCTGATCAGTGGAGTGCTGGCCACCGATGTAGCACTGTACAACAGTCATTCGGTTCGTGGTGAGCGTCCCTGTCTTGTCCGAACAGATGGCCGTCGCGTTGCCCATCGTTTCACAGGCATCCAGATGGCGAACTAAATTATTATCCTGGAACCGATAAAAAACAACAAAATTAACCCTTAAAAGCCCATGTAGTCATAACATTACCTTATAGCGTGGTTTATACATAGTACTTTTCAAGACCCCGAAAATATAGACAACTAGGGTTGGTAACCGGTGTCTTCTCAAGAGGTGTACTCAAGCGGCTCACAAATTTTACTTGCCGATCATGACTGAATTAGTCTACAGTTTAATCACATGACTAACACAAAATTCCATGCATTGATACTTATAAAGACTTTAAGGTTAATTATGTTAAACCCTTTATGGCTGAGTAAAACCTTTTGTCAACACAAATCTGCGAATCCCTTTGCCGAACTCTTTCTTTATCTATGAATAGAGCACCGTATACATGTGCAGTATGTACAGGTTAACTACCACGAATGTTTTAGCACCAGAAGGCGTCAGTACTATAGCACTAAAGAATAACCTGAAAGAGGCATGATCCGTTATTATTAAACTTCTTCGGTGTGCTCATACAAAGAAATGATGGGAAACAAGACCATCGACATCAAAACACCGGTAGCGCAATTAGAAGTTGATTAGGCCGAATCCCAATGCGCGTACAAGTAACTGAGCTTCGAAACATGCCAATTCACCAATCACGCATTATGAATGAGAAGAGTTCAATTAAGAAAAGGTGACTAATGTGTAAGAAATCCACATCACTGAATCAATGCCTTGGTCGCAGATGCTGTCAACAACTAAAGTTCCGGAATAGTCAAATGCTATTTGAAAGTTAAAGAGTATGAGCTTTGCGCTGATGAAACACTATTGTTATCGTGCTCGCTAGTCTCTGGTAGGAAATAAATGTTTTTAACCAAACACAAAAGAGCTACAGCTGAGCAGGCAAACAATTGTGACATGTACCTATAATGAAGCTGGCCTTGATTATTAAATGGAATTAAAAATCCAACATAGGCCAAGTTGACAAGGCTTGAATGACAAAACCGCACATCAAGTTCGTTCCGCGAATATAATGCGATTAAATTTCTCGAAAGTTGAAGCACCATGGCGTGACAGGCGAAGAGGCTAATAAATACCAGGACTTCCATTTGTTAAATAAAAGTCAACGTAGTGCGAATCATGCTAAACGGAGGTTACATGCTCGACAGTTGTGCTGTAAATACGGCGCAACACACTTGCCCGGTTCCGCTGCAACCAGCTGGCGTTTGCTTCAATTTGAGGGAATGAATGGACAAGTGATGAGGCTAGAGGAAGTTGTGGGGCACCAGTAAATGTTTGTGTGGGTTTGAACAACACTACATCATTTTGGGCGTCAAAAATGCGGCCAGGTAAACAGTTCGCAATTTGGAAAATAGCAATATTTAACAAGGTTGTTGTGAAAAATCCCACAGGAACAGGGCAAGTGCTGCAGCTAGCACTTTTGGAGTCAACGTTAAGCATCAGCAACAAGAATTTAGGCAGATTTGAAATGGACCACAAGTTGATGAGTCTACAACAATCAGATGCTGCAATTATCTTTTTACGATGAAAAGGCCTATTCAAAATAACTCTCCAATGATAGCGCAAAATTATTTGCTAAAAGCATAGCGTCATTTACAAGGATACTATGAATAGAATTGTTCTGATTCTGCGGCTTAATAGGAATTCGTTCAGAGAAAGAGTTCCTGTTACCAGTAAAAATGCATTAGAGTAAAGAGTTGCTATGCACAGGAATCAGGATTTTTAACAGATGAACATTCGTGGGATTATAGTACACAGGGACTACTGCGCATAAATTTTATTATATGAATCGCAAATTCCTCGATTACACACCTGATAAACTAAAAAAGAGACACCAGATATTGTAAGAGGTAAACACCAGGATTTATGAAACATGCTATCCCAAACAATGGGATTAACACAATCAAGGGAAATGAACTACCTGTAAAATGAAGAATCGTGGCTCTAGTTCTCCAGTAGATGCCTCAAACTTATCCCCGGGCAGTGCAAGCGCCGAATTATACGGCCAAAATTATCTACTGAAATCTTGACTGCTTTTATCGATTTTGTGTGGATAAAAAATATGAATAAAAGCTTTATAGTGAAGCATTTAATTTCCTTTGTGTGAATAGGCTTTAGGTAAATCATTATAGGCAAAGCGGAATGGCATAAACAAATCGAGAAAATAAACCGCATTAACCTTTGCAAAGAGCCACTCATTATACTCTTAACATATTTCTTTAGGAGAATCAAACATCTTTCTGCGAAATCCTATAACCAATCACGTTATACATAATAAATTCCCAGCTGATTGCGCCGACTACTAGATGGGCTACTAGGACTCGTGTTTGTGTCATCTAAGTCAATTTACTCGAATTTGGTATCGACAAGGGTAACGTGATACTCAGGAGAGCAAATCTGAAAGGACAATTCTTTTTATTATTTTTCTTTAAAAAGGATCTAAAATTTCCTCGTCTCATAACTCGTAATTCGTATTTGATAAGTTAGAAATTGCATTTTTTGGGAATCAGGAAGTATGCAAGTTCCGCAATTGGATTTGTTACTGCATGTGCATGAAGTTTGGTCCATGTTGTAGCACAAGTCAATAGAGGAGTGCGTTACCCTACCCAAAACGGTGAACATTCTCACTATTTAAGGAAATTCAACTGCAATGGCCGGACCCAGTTACGTGCAAGTAAATGTGAGGTTGCCATTTACAATCGAACCGCGGTATGAACGTGATCACAGGGGCTACTTGCCTTCATCATCTTCTTGACAGAGTATGCGAGGGAGATGGTTACAGCCAAAGGAAGTCCCTCGGGAACAGCGACGACTAATACAGTGACACCGATGATGATGAAGTGGATGAACTGTTTCAAGTGGACACTCGTGTTCCAGGGCTCACCCTCAATGTAGTAGGTGTTGACTGCGAACTTGACAAAGAGAATGATGACTGTCAAGACGGCGATTACAGTGCCTGAAAAGGAAAAGAAGCGGCTACTTGACGGCCACTGGAGACTTATTGGTGCAATTGTCTGCTGCATTCACAGGACTGTCTCCACTTCACCCCACTGACAATACACATCTCCACTTTGTGCTGAACGAATTACCAGTAATGGCGAGAGAGAAAGGACCGCCGACGGCTATAACTCGGCGAACGGGTGTTAGGCTTTTCACTTAGGTACGGGTAATGAAGAGGTACTAGGTTAAAAAAAGTATCGTTGATACAAGCAGGCAGTATTTGAATTCTTGAACGACGAGAAATCAAACGTTTATCGAAATCGACTTTGCGTTCAGGATTCAAATATCACGACCGAGTTATTCAAAAAGCAAAAGGTCCTCGCCTATTTTGTAAATTCGACAAAGAATTTTAAAGGCCTTCGACAATGATGATATGCTACGGATGTAATTTTGGCCAAAATCAAATATTCACAATCTTTATAAAAAACATTAACAAGCAGCCTACCGACTTGTCCAATGACTCCGGCCAAGTGATTGAGCTTCGCCTGTAGCACAGACGACTTTTTCTTCGTCCGCTTTTTCTTCTTTTTTGCGGCTTTGTCAGCGATCACGACCTGTGCATCACTGTCGCCACCCTTCCCGTTGCCAGGATGAAGGGACTCGGCAGTGCGATTATCGATTGGTGCGGTGTGGTCCCCGAGGTTGTTTAATCGGCCAACTTCTGTAGCTGCTAGCAGGAGAGGTGGCAATCAGCAAAACAGGAAATGTGGCTTGCATGCATATTAAATCTAATAACCAGGCTACGAAAGTGAGGCACAGGAGATCTTGCGCCAAGCATTCAAGATGCGACATCGCCACCCTCCTTCCACATGTATGTTAATAGAAGAACAAAAAAGAGCGTGGCAGAGCAGCAATGGGTCAGTCAAAAGAACTGCACTGAACACACAGCGTCTACCCTTCTTAATAAGGATATATTACGGCAGCTAAGGCAAATAAATTAATTCAAAAGAGTGAAACAACGTATTAAATACAACAAAAGTTAAGCACTCGGATTAGTGATGTTTTGTCTTGTGCAAAAGTCGTCGCGAATTTGACAATAACGCTGAGGGAAATAAATTCAAGGTTTTAGAAACAGTGAGAAGTGTATTCTTTTGGTAACGTCAGCAAATGCTGGAAAGTGATACGCTGAACGGTAATTACTTGAATATTTGATTATTTCCGACTTCACAGTGTTAAATATTCAGAAAATATGTAGCCGAGTAACAACCTATTTCAGAAAAGGCTTATGAACATGTGTCACAAAATGCAAAGGTTCGAAAGAGGAACCAGGAATACGGCCTCTTACCAGGCGGATTCGCGCCACCTCTGTGTTCGATGCCATCAGCCATGAGTTGGTTGTTTTGGTTTAGCAGTGGAGTCTGGGCTGAGGCCTTGTCGATTGGCGGGGCCGCCACAGCGGGCTGAGGCAGGGCAGACGCGGGAGAGCCATCTAGGCCTGCCATCCCTCCAGCCCCCTCAGTGGCTCCCAAGAGGGTGAAGATAATACCAGCTTGGGAGTGCACCCCAACGGCAGTCACGAGGAACTTACCCGACCCTTCCATGACATGAGTTCCTAAAAAAACAGTCTTTAGATGACTACCACATTACGTAAAATGGTGTCAGTAACAAAGACATGGCCTCTCGCTTAGCCAGCCAGAAAAGTTATCTGGGAATTAGGGGTGTGATTCCATCTGATGGATGATATTCAAGAGCAGAGCTATTTGATGGCCGTTTGATGCAATCCAAATTATCGGAAAGTGCGTGTACAGCGAGATTTTCTGGCAAAAACGTCAACGATCGATTAAGTCTGTGAGAAGACGATTTGTGTAACAGTAGACAAAGAAAACCGTACACGAAACTAGTACGTGATTGAAAAAGGCATGTCGAGTGACCCGGTCTTTCCGCAAACATGACGCCAAGATTTATCAAAGGCGAAAAAATCAGGGTCAAACTCCAAAGTTGTCGCCAAGAAAGCCAGAACTAGCATAAATTTATAGCCGTCTTCTGCTAGAACTCCGTGAGCAATTAATCAGCACCACTCGAAAGGCAAACCAATCTGGTGAAAGTTTTGCAAAATTAAATGAACCAAAGGGAGAATGTTTTAGCATTTAATTAAACACCACCAAGAAAAAATAAGGTATAAAAATCTATTTGGCAAGGTGGTTGAGATGTCAGATTTTAGAAGATTGGAAAGTTATATACTAGGACAAACGGAATTTCACCCGAACTTTACATACACGTAGTTTTTTCAAAAAAACATGACCATTCGCAAATGATCTGTTTAATGGCGTCACTTTAGAGGAATTGGTGCAAGTACACAACTTGGGCATGTGTTCACGAAAGGCAAGTGTTTAGCTTCGTCGGCCAATTCAATGATGCATTTTAGTTCGGGTCATCCCCAATAAGAAGAATCGAGATTGGTTATAGTTCTGAATAAAAATCATGCTTAGCAGTCAAATAACCAAAAACACCGGTTTCCTGAAAAATTTCGAGTGTCAAGTAAGCAAAACAGAGTTTTGTGTCAAAAATTCCCCAATTTATTTCGTGTGAAAAATACGCGCTTGCAAAAATTGATTATTTTATTCAAGTCATGACTTGCTGAAGACGAAGTGATTGTTGTATCAGCATAATTTATTAAAAAAAAGGAAGTAGAAATTTTCACCAAGTAGTCGATGGCTAAGACTCCTAAAAATTGGATTTTGTGGATGACGTCGTGTTTGAGCGCGTCGAAAAAATTCCACAGATAAAAGGCCCTTGTTTAGCATGTTTCAATAATGTTTACCAAACAGCAAGCATATTTAAACATTGTGCATGTTTATAAGTGTGGTTGGTCGCTGAACTTGGTGAACCAACGCAATTTAGGTCTCGGCACGTCTGTTTCGACAGTGCCAAGCATGTAGCTTTTGAATACATGAAGGAAAGAATTTTCCATACGAGAAATAACTACAGTTGTCGTCTTCATATTTGTGCAGTGTACCACCGGGTGAAGTGAAGTATGTGAGCGCCAAATAACCACGTGCTCTCTTTGGACGGCAAAACTTACCTGGATACCAGCTAACAATTTCAGCATCAGAATAATGGCCCATGAACATTTGTCACACATGGATGATGCTAGCCATATTTGTTTTAAAACAGCAAACACACGGGATGTGAATTTTCTTAAACTCTACATCCTCCGTGTCGATAACTTTCCCCTCGAAACCTCGTCGGCTGATTTGGTAGAACCTCATTAACTGTTTGCCTGAACACTTTTAATTAAGACTATTGAAAAAATTTAGACCAATGTTTATGTCCTGAAAAGTAGGAGGAGAAGATACTCGCATTAAAATACTCGCAGCATGGCAAGCAGAAAAATGCTGCGACAGCCGACGCCTTTGTAGCTACAAATCAACGGGAAAATCCGTCGATTTTAACAGAACTTAAAATTACATGTTAGACATGATTCAGCGACACTGCCTTCAAACAATGGCCACAGCGAGTTAAGATGTTTGCCCACTAGTGAAACCTCAGGGAACCGTTTGAGCAAGAGAGGAAATTGGAGTTCCGATGATTTCACGACAAGATAGACAACAGGAAGAAATCTTTGTCAGTGCACTAAAAGCAGTTTTAGGAAAAGTTGCATAAGTCATCTCACAGTCTAATTTTGTCACGCTGCCCACGACTTCGGCCAAATACTTCAACGAGATAGATGCAGTGTGGTTTCTGGTCATCAAAGCCAGCTGCACGTAAATCCGATACATTGGGGGATGTTACAGAAACAACGCTAAAAAGGTTCACATCTCCGTGACATCTGTGATAAACTGATAGCGAGTTTGCATAGCACTTGTAGACGTTGAACTGAACAAAATGACATTCTAAATTGTGGGCAATTGTTGTCCCTGCACCTTGCTTAATGACAAGAAGGAAGTTGACCAAATGGAAATTCTACGCAACACAGCTCCCTTCAATGACACACAAGATCCGCAGTTGCTTTTTTTATAAACGTTTTTGACTTATAAAACGCGCACTCATCCATTCTGCATTTTAGCGCAGTTCGGAAATGAGGCGTACAAAAATTAAATCAGCCTAGGCAGCACCAGAAACGCACACATCCACATTAAGTGCAATTGATGTTGCATGACGCCGAAAGCATGTTTTGAAGTTCCTTCATGCCAACTCCAACAGTATGCATGTTTTCAAGCAAATCACTCTGGCATTTAGTAAGTATGTCATGAAGGTGTGTGTGCGTGTTACACATTAACTTCAGACAATCACCATCACCATCAACATCGACAAAATAAGTGCAAATTGGTGTGCTTTCACGGAGTTCACGTTTCTACAGCAAACTGATTTCTCCAACAACTCAGCTACTTTGAGCAAGTTGGCAACGAAGGCCTACGATCTTACATGAGTCCGCACACTCTTTGCAGTCGTTTACCTGTTGTTTTGTGTCAAAAAGGCGGACAACCTGTATCACAGTTGAACTTTAACACTACAGACATCTTCGAAGTTGAAATGTTCGTTTGCGCAGCTAGAATAGGTGAAAATTTAACTAAGATTTGCCCTCGTGAGGATTCCAACTGGCCTTGGGTCGAGTCCGAGAGGCCGGTCTGACGTGGGTCAGTCTGGTGAGTTTTAATTAGGGAGCTTGTAAGAAATAAAGTGCTCTTTAATCAAGTATCCTATTGGTAAACCCAATTTTAAGCACTGGGGATTCGAAAGGGAAGCAAAATAGCTGGTCACGAAATCACGAATTCTGACGAATTTAATCGGTCCACTAAAACTTTTACTGAGTTTAATCGTTTCAGAAGAGATGATGTAACAGCGTTGTCAGGGCCTTCGACTTCCCCAACTCACCGAACGGATTTGTCAATGACTTTCAAAGAATAAAATTTCGTGCGACTTATTTCAGTACGTAATAGGCGGAAGTCATGCTCAGGGTGTTCATGATTTGTTTGCTAGAACACCATACAATAATCTGGTCGGATCAGGGCTATTTGTTTTAATGTAACCGACGAATTGCCCTAATTCACGTAGACGATTGTCAAAGATGCACTGCTTCCAGTCTACATTGGTTAATACAAACATTTGATCTTCAGAGGATAATTAGGCTCTGATTGAATAATTCAGAGAAAAAAACACAAAATGTACCCCATCGCCTCCACAAGCTGTGGGCACGAAGCCAATGCACAAGACGGAAACAAACAACGCTGCTAGAATATTTAAAGCTAAGGCAAAACAGCCGGATTTTCGCGAACAGTTAAACCACTCCCTTTGAAAGTAGCGCAAGTTGGTTACAAGAGATACCTGGTGTAAATTTCGAAAGAGAATAGCAAAATAAAACACATTTGTGAACTCCTGTCGCAGTTGAAAAAGGAACCTCACAAATAAAAATCGAAGTAAGGGTACTTAAGTGGACGTGTGCGTCATCTCAGGAAGCAATTTAACCTTTTCAGTTAGACCATCGACATCACAAGGAGGTAGTCCAATGGAAATGGGATAATTACAGTCAATACAGGAGGCCAAAAGACAGAAACAAAGGGTTATTTTACCTTAATTGCCATAAATTCAACGCTTTGGGCCCAGAATGAAAAAGGACACTAGTTTACGCTTTCCTGTTACTTGAGACACACTGGAGAGAAAGCAACGGCTGTTGAATAGTTCCTTGTCGCCACGCTGCTCACCCTTTCACCTCATTTTTGGCGAACGAGGGAGATGTAATAATTTTTCTAGAAATGTCCTCCCTAACATATTCCCTTCATGCTGCTATCTTGAAGGTGTCCTCAGAAATACCAACAATCAACGAAACATGAAGTTGTCCAATAACTTCACGAAAAAGCACATTTTTACGGCTCTATCATGATTTTCTGTGCCGCGCATTGCTTTTGCACACATTAGCCTTCAGCTTGTCAATGTGAATGGATTAAGTGCGCACACCAAGTCAAGAAAGTCAGTTTGTTATCACGGTACCTAAACCTTCGTTAGGAAAATATGCGAAGGAAAATAATAGGCTTATGCATGGCTGCCTATGGGAGTAACTTATGTGGGTTTTGATTCATTAACTACGAAATTAACAGTGCTGTGCTTTTAGACAACTTATTTCCTAATGGGCGTTCACCAAGTCTTCGTAGATTCACCAAAAATAGCTAACACTGCAGGATCGAAAATACAACGTGAGATTCTTCTCAGGTGTGACTTGTTGTCACCACGAGAAACAGAAACAGCCAATAAAGCAATTTCGAGACCTTGGTTTGGTCGTAAAGAGCTATAATTTACGTCACAGGAGTTAATATCAGGTTGGGACTTGTCTCCTAACACGCGGACACAAACAGACCGTGGAGGGGTATATATCCCAATCCTAACCAAAACAAGCCAAGCATACTAATTAAGTCGGTATGGAGTTCCGAGGTGAATATAACTGATATCTTTGAAATAAAAAGTATCGCAAGTACAAAACATTATTGGATATACGCAAAACTAGATTTAACCAACAAAGAAGCAGATACAACTGATCACGCTTACTACGATATTCTAAAAAAGCACTTAACTTTAGCATAGTCGTGTTCGCAGGTTCGTGGAAAATGCCGCAGGATTACAAATGATTGGGCTTTAGTGAGCATTACAATAGTCTACACAAAAGCAGATGATGATGTATCATTCCACTTAGAAAAGCGTCCCCACAGTAACACATGGTATAACTTTGGATGCGTCCTTGAGCACTGCGTAAGTCCTTATGCCTACATGCAGCCAGTGTAAGACTAGTGGTACAAATGTCTTAGAAACTGGTTGATAACGCGGCCTATTGTGATAATGTAGGTGAGTGATTTAAGAAACTTATTAATAATTAATTGATGGTTCTATCGACGCAGACATTGCCAAAAGCTGATAAGGGCGATACTACCGGGAAAAAACAACACGCCTGAGGCTAAAATTTAAAAAAAAAATAAACAAGACATTTACCTGACAGGAGCATGGGATCAATGTGTTCTCCCTTCTTCACATGGTCAGCCTCTCCTGTTAGGGAACTTTCATCCACCTTTAAGTCATTGCTTTGGATAATGACACCATCAGCTGGCAGTAGATCACCTAGAGGAAAGATTAACGTATCTAAATGTTCAATCCGACAGTTTTCAGATAAAAGATCTACATAGGGGTGACTGATATTGAAAAGAAGAGAGTGGAGTCACCAATGAACAAGTTTAGTTTGAAATTGACGTTTAATAAATAGTTGCATGTAAAAATATAAAAACGCCAAGAGCGCTTTCATGTCCAACTTTTGGAATCCTATAGATTGAATGAAAAAAAGACCTGGCATACAAGATTTCCCACTGCTTCTGAATTCCCATCGAACAAGGGTTAAAAATTTGACAGCATTTGTTGGCCACTGGTTCTACATATCCATATGATCCTGAACCAGTCTACCGTAGTATTTACCCACCTATTCAATTTTGCTGGAGCTTTGTCAACTCTAAATGATGTTGAAGGAGTGACTGCGAATGACTTGCTGCAGGCAATTGACAAAAGCTTCACGTTCGGCCAAGTAACTTGTCAACAGGTCTCTCATACGCAAGGGTAAAACCTTCCAACCAAAAACACAGGCCAGTCTTGTATCAGATTATGTGCACTGATACCATTTGACATTTGATAATGCCTGACGGCGGGGCGCGTAAAAACCAATTCCTCTCTGCTTTGCGATAGCAGCCAAACGCTGATTTCATCTGATGCCAATTAAAAGAACAGCATAGGAAATGGGCACGGAATTTAATTTATTTATGCAACGGAATTCATTAAAAAAAGTCGGCGGAAAATATATTAAATACGAGTAGGTAGTGGCAATAAGACGCAATGGCAGTTGCAGAATACCACTGAGCGTTTCGTGACACACCGTCCAGCAAGTAACTAAAATGGTAATTGGTTGGATTCGTTAAAATTAATTAATTGAGTGCACAACAAGGTGTAGCACATGGACAAAATATCCTAACGTTGCCATAGTTTCGTCATTTTTGGGAGTTGGCTTTGAACTTTTAACATCCCTAACATTCTTAATTTGATATGTGAATAATTTCTGGTGTTTTACTTTTGTAAAACGTGCCTCAAATTTAGCTTTCGGAAACCATGGATTTAGATTCAGTCAATGAATGAGTGTAAGAATCGATTGTCTAAAAGGAAGTGAGAGGCGACCGAAAACCCAGAAGCAGTCATTCGCTATTAATCCTTCAGTATGCGATTGCCCATTTAATCACCTAGACAATGAGTAATATTTGTATTTGCTTCCGTATAGCTCCCCATATCAGTACATGACTATGGACAAAATAAACAGAAACACAAATGCGCGCAACCACATTCCCAGTGCTCCCAAACACAAACAAGTTGCGTGTAACGTAGCTTTGGTCCTTCTTGTGGTTAATTAACTGGGTGTGTGGATATGAAAAACACACTTTCGGCATTCAGCTCAAATTAACTGGAATGTTCCTAACATAAATGGGGTCAAAACATGTGCAAACAGGAAATATGCAATCTAAGAGTCACTGACAACTTTATCGTGAAAGGAACCTGTCAGGGTGTGGAGCGCTCATGCCGCCAAAACGCCTCAAAACAGTTTGCGCCTCAACTTAAAATTGTAAACTGGCAAGTAGAAAAATGGAAGTGAATGTGGTAATTTCGACAATTTGGAGCCTCATTTCGGTGATTGAGGCCTGCAGGACGTCAATGCATGGGATTAATAAAAAGGAATAGCCTGTGATGATGACAGATGGGCTTCAAAATTCGTGGTGGGGACGACTTTTTGTTACTGCTTGGGATAACAGGACTCCTGGACCAAGGTTAGAATATGCCTGACATTGGTGTGATGAAGATGGGAAAAATCAGCCTACGTCTCCTTAAATAGTGGCGGTGGTAGATGGAGAAAACGAAGAGACTTTTTAACCTGAGAGCTAGCGGTCGAAAATACCGCCCCTACTTCGCCTAAACACTCGATAACAAAACAGCGCTTGAGCGGCGTACTTGCATCACAGATTATAAGGTAAGCGCCTGAAAGCTTGGTATTTACATATTTTAGGCTACGCCCGAACAAGCGTCAGGGACATTTTCTGGCGGCAAGTGCATCGTTATTCAAGAGTAGAGCATTGTGTTAGCCTATTGGACCATCCCACATCCAAATAAACATCCTCTGCACACAAGATACGGCAAATCTCATTGTCGTGACGGCAGAACTTCAAATGTTTTTGTCCAATTAGGTACATTTGGTAGTGACTAATAAATGGGGGATAAGACGGAGTAAAACAGGTCGATGGCAAATGGGAAAATGTTGGTGCACGATACAGAAATTCGATATCAACAATATTGATTATTAACGGAAGTGGCTGATGGGAGAGGAAAGCGGCGAGTGACATGACGCAGAGTGACGACTTACCGTATTTGATGAGGCAGATGTCCCCGACAACGATTTCACCCACAAGACATTCGATGAAGTCCCCATCTCGCATAACGGATATTCGGTGGTCTGACTCGATTTTGTCCTGCAGGCCCCGGAACTGACGCTCCTTTTGCCAGTCGTTTACGGCGGTGACAAGGACAACAACAAGCACCGCGCCCAGAATGGCCACACCCTCAATCCAACCGGCGTCACCTTCCGTCTCATCTCCACCAATGTGACCCCCGCTATCTGCAAACAATGAATAGATTTGGAGGA